CAAGAGGTCAATGTTTCTGTAACAAAGTCTTATTGAAGCCTAAACAGCTGTAGTTAAAGTGTATCAGTAAGGCAGACCCTGTTTTTTTATTTTTTCAATATTCAACACACCTGCTATACAACCTGACATCACAATATCTTTAAAATATTCACTTAAATATAGGAGCACTTCATGTTCTTACTCTTCTAAGTTTCATTAGTCATGACAAAAAGTAGATATATTTAACTTCCAGTCTCTTTATTTAAAATGAACTACTAATTATTACAAGTTACTTAACTACTTGTTAGTCTACGTAGCAGGATTGCATAGCTGTAGGCAGGTGCTGAACTGTAGTTCATCAGCCAAACTGACGGTGGCACTATGCCCTTCTTCATGCTGACAGGAGATTGTTGACTGATCAATCATTCCTTCTGTGTCAAGATTGCTCCAGGTGGCCATCTTGGAGAAGATGGCATCTCCTATTGGATGCCGAAACACATGGAATTTGGGTGGCCATATTGACAGAAATGCATCAATGACAGATTCTGTATCATTCAGTGCATGAACAGTGTCAGAATAGGACAGGGACAGAGCCACACTGGTTAGGGAGAGAGTAGGAAGAATGATATGAAGAAGTACCCGACGAAAAAGAAAAAAAAGAAGGTTTCCCCTTGCAGGGTGTCTCTTCTGCCAGCTTCTCTCGGACTGTCTCCCACCGGCAGCCATATAGCTGCAAGGTGTTTGGGGATCACAGGGTTGCACAATAATCTGGATACCCCCTGTGAGTGTCTGTGTGTCTAGAGAGGAGAGAAACAGACACACAGGAACAGAGATTTGCAAACTACAAACTGAAACTGCACATACGCCATTCCAGTGCTGGACAATTCCCAGTTGCTATGATGTCACCCATAAGCTTACTATGAGGCATCTGTTGTCAGCTGTCTCTCCTCTGTTCTGAAGCTGACACTGGGACCCAATGATGTGACTGGACCAGAGCACTGTGAATAGGCGACCTGAGGGAGATTTCTTAGGGCACAGCAACCTAGACAGTGAAACAAAAGAAATAATTAGGTGGTTTGCATATTTTTGAGAGATAACTTTCTATCCTGGTGGAGCAGTCCTTGGTCCTTGGGAAAGTTTTGTTACATATGTGTACCAGTGGAGTGGGTTCCTGGAAGTTTGGCTGTCATACCATGCTATCTGAATGCATTTCTGACCAGTTGGCACTGGTGGTCATAGCTATGCGGTAAGAGACTGTGTGTGCAAATTGATGGTGGAGGATCTCTTTTCTGGGTTCTATCACACTCTGAAGCATTCTTATATGTGGTCAATGTTTGATTATCCACTGGATGTTCCATAAGGAGAAATTTGGACTTTATTTACGGTCCCAAGAGTGGTTTTATATTATAAAGGACTATTGTTGCACTTCACTCTTTGGTGTTGTTTTACATCGCTGTAAACTGCCTTATTTCTGTGACCATTCAGATTCGTGCAATATAATAAATGTTTAAGTATTCACATGTTTTGACTCCTCCCACTTCTCTGGTACACTGATTAGGCTCCCGCTTACAAATGTGCCTTCACTTACCTTGCCAGCTTTTTACTGCCACCCAGTCCATCCCTGGAGTTCTGAGAAAGTTTTGGCTTTGAGTCAAAACTTCCACATGGCTAAGCAGATCTACTAGTTTACAGGTTCTTATACTTATTTCTTATTTTGTGGCTTCACTACTTTGTGAATTGCTGTCCAAGAACAAGTTAGCAGCCTATCAATAGATAGTGTAATCCACCACTACAAACAAGGGGTTAAAATTGTACCTATGCTTGCTATGTTTTTCTCAGGTCATCCGAAGTAAGCCAATGCTTTGTAAGGGCCTTTCAACAGTTGTGCATTTTGGTGCAGTTATATGTATGTCCACTAAATGCATAATAATATCTGGCACATGGAAATGCAGAAATGAATACAGTCCTATTTACTATAATAGTACGTCCATATCAAGTAGCAACCTTGGCACTAAAAATAAAGAAACAAAGGTGCAACCAACATCTTTATTTACAAAGTAACATAAAAATGGGGTGTGCAGCGCTTATACAGATAAACACACTATCATAGATAATGGTAAACAGTCCGAGGTAAATATATATGATTTCAATCCAAATGGGTATATTCCAGTGATGGAGTATATATGACTTCAATCCAAATGGGTATATTCCAGCATCCTGACATGAAGGTGTAGAAATATTGCCCACTCACCGGAAGTGCAATTTTAATGTGCACATAGAAATTCCATGTAGCCGGAGGTCCCGTGAAGGTACAGCCTGATGATAAAGGTATCTAGTGGTTATTGAGGTGACAGCTGCCAGGAAAGATGGTCTGGACCTATTTCACAAATCCTCCAGCCTGGGCGGACTCCTGGAATGCTGGGCTGAGATGTGAAGGCTCAGTGCCAGGTAAAAAGAGATGAAAACGCTCATGGTGTAGTAATGTAAAATTTATTATGGTATAAAAATATTATGGTATAAAGTAAGCGTACAGGGTGATAGTAACCTATACAAATATCATGAGCTCTTGAATACACTGACCAGTGGATAAATATGATGGCCACTGGACCTCCTGATCCGGTGGCGTGACGTCAAGGAGTGCAGAGGCTCCTCCTAGACGCGCTTCATGTAATAACACACGTCTCCTGTAGGGGTGATGCCCCCTGAAATGGTAGAGATTAGACCCACATTGCTAACATGAGATCTTAGTCATATTAGGCAGTCTATATACTGTATAACCCAATTTCTTTTCTGTAATGTCCATGTTGAGTGTTAGGCCCGAAAAAGTTTCTAAATTCAGAAACCGTGATAGGTCTCTATGTGAATTGTCTGGCAAGAGCTGAATTTGGGTGGGCTGTGATGTATTGTTGTGCATATAAATTGCTTTGGTCCACAATCAATCAATACAAATCTTCTGTGAAAAACAGCGTTGGGGCTAAACGCTAGTGCAGGCAGTGAACAGGGCTGATCCTGCTAACATTGCATTTTTGGAGAAAGTATACAAACCATACTAGTATATTTCTATTCGTGATCAATATATTGAACTGTACAAACACTATATACTAGTAATGGTAGTGATCAGCGACCTATAGAGTGAATGCGATACTGTTCGGGCAATCTAATGCTAGCTGACCATGGCTGGGAGGGGTACTAACTGACCCTGATGCTATCTGATGTTGCTAGTGGCAGGAATACAGTGATCAGTGAAAAATTCTATATACTGACATTGTACTACTGGCATTAGCTGGGTGATGGGGTGGTCAAAGGGTTAATAAGGGTGATCAAAGAAATAAATGTGCTAATCTAACGTGTGCATGTAAAATGTAGTGCTTTTACTCAGTACCATGTTCATTCTGCTCTCCCTGGACGGCCTAGGTAGCAGTGGGGGGGGGGGTGCACACATGCGCATGCAGCCCCGGAAATAATGTAAGATTACGTCGCTTTGCCCAGAGCTACCGCTCGCCCTCACATTGTTGGCACATTGTTGGCGGGCAGGTGGCACATAGTTAAAATAAAATAAAACTTTCTTTCAATAATTTTTTAAAAACATTTTTTTGACATTATTTTTCTTTTTTTAATATTTTTTAAATACTTTCATCAGAGTAATGCAATATTACCATAGTACCATTGTACTACTCTGGGGGCTGATCAGGGATTTTTTTTTATTTTTACACTCTGCATTGCAGAGCAATAAAGATCATTGTTCTGCAATGCAAAAAGCTTGCTTTGAACTGTCATGAATGTGTTAAGTTCATGACAGTTCAATATAATAGTGATCTGTGATTGGCTCCAGCTGGTCACATGGGTGCTATGATTGGCCCCATGTGTCATGTGAGAGCTGTGGACCAACTACAGCTCTCCAGGAACAGAAGCAAAGCTTTTATGAATCAAATTGATTCATAAAAGCTTTGTTGTCATTGTGATCATGTGATCCCATAGTGGGTCCCGATTCTTATTCTCCTGGTTCCAGTGGACACAGCAGACGTGGGGGAGGAGGGTTGTGCACTTGCTCGAGTGCGTAGTGCCCCCCTGTGTTGACAAAGGACCAGCGACATACGGGTCCGCCACTGGTCATGTCCACAGTACATTGCAAATGGGCGGCCTGAAAGTGGTTAACTTTAGAAAGAATTTTCTATCTGTGTTTCTGTTAGAGAGAATTCCCTTCACTTCTCATCCTGGGGACAACCATTTTACCAGACAGGAAGTGAAGGAATCCCTTCAATGGAGCCTCGTGTTGCAGTAAAACCTGACAGTTCTAATTTATTCCCCACTCTATCTGAAATAAGGCCCCACTTTCACACAATCAGTTCGATCAGCTCCACCTGCCTGTTTAACCCCTTCACGCCTAAGGGTAAAACAAATCTAAATGCCTAAGCACAATTTTGCAACGTTGACATGTGTTAGTAAAACCGTACATATCATCACAACTACTTTGTGCATTCAGGTGAATTATACCGCGTTTTTTTCAGGACAAATTGGGCTTTCATTTGGTGGTAATTGGTAATGGATATCTCCTGATTTTTTTTTTATTATCAAAGGAAAACTGGCCCAAAATAGTAAAAAAAAATATATTTTTTTTATTTAGCTGTGTTTCTTGTTACTACCATAACCTACCACCAAAGAACAACCCAAAATAAATTCTCCAGCTCTTGACGATCGCAGCGATACCATATATGTGTAAGTTATTTGTTGTTTGTGCCCTTAGTACAGCCCAGACACAATAGTGCACATTTTGTTTTTGTCTTTTTTTACCTAAAACACATTGACAGTGACTAGAGATGAGCGAAGAAATGAAAAATTCGATTCGACTGATTCGGCGAATTCGTGGACAATATTCGATTCGAGTCGAATAAATTCGCTGTGAATTTAACTTAAAAAAGGGTGTTTTAGGCTTCAGAGAGACTTAATATTAGTGCAGAACACTGTACCTTTAATTTAAATGCCCTTGGAGTCTGCTGGGGAAGAGAAATAATACTGTCACTCAGTATGACATGCAGATGAGTGCCGTCGATCTTAGAATCACCGCACACTTCACTCATTTGGCCAGTCACGGGGCCAAAACCAGTGTTTGGAGCCACAGTGTGGCGGTGGAGGCAGCAGCAATGGGAGGCCATACAGCAACCTATGACAAAATGGAAAACCAGCAGGAGTGTGAGGAGACCTGAAAGTGGCACATGCAGTGGGAGCAATGGGAGGCGGTACAAGGACCCATGTCACACTGTGGACCCAGCAGCAGCGTGACCAGGCGGTACGGGGGCCCATGGCAGATTACAGGCCTGGCAGCAGCAATGGGAGGCCCGTAATCTGCCAGCACCCTATGACAAAAAATGGAACACACCAGCAGTCTGTGAGGAGACCTGAAAGTGGCACATGGCAGAGTGTGGCGATGGAGACAGCAGCAATGGGAGGCCGTACAGGGACCCCTGAGAGACTGTGGACTGTGGACCTGGCAGCAGCATGAGGAGGCGGTATAGGGGCCCATGGCAGATTAGGGGCCTGGCAGCAGCTATAGGAGGCCCGTAATCTGCCAGCACCCTATGACAAAAAATTGAACACACCAGCAGTGTGAGGAGACCTGAAAGTGGCACATGGCATGAGACACTCTGGACCTGGCAGCAGCATGAGGGGACTGGCGGTATATATAGGGGCCCATGGCAGATTAGGGGCCTGGCAGCAGCTATGGGAGGCCCGTAATCTGCCAGCACCCTATGTCAAAAAATTGAAAACACAAGCAGTGTGTGAGGAGACCTGAAAGTGGCACATGTTTGGGGCATGATTCATGGCGGATTTAGTCAGTTGTGTCAGGAACTAGTGGTTTGAAATCCAGACTAATCCACGCCTGATTCATTTTCACAAACGTGAGTCTCTCCACACTTTGGGTGGACAGTCGTGTCCTCCGCGGAGTTGCAATACCTCCTGCCGCACTAAACACGCGCTCCGATGCCACGCTACTGGCCGGGCATGACAGCCTTTCAAGGGCAAATTCAGCTAGTTGGGGTCAAAGGTCAAGTTTCGTTGCCCAGTAGTCAAGGGGATTGTCTACCTCGGTTGGCAGGGTGCTGTCCAAGTAGGCCTAAGCCTGTTGTTTGAGGTCCTGCTCCAGGTCCACCTGATGCTGCTGCTGCTGCGGCTGGTTAGTAGTTTTCCTCACTGCGCTGGTGAAGAAAGCTACTCATCATCGACTGCAGACTGAGGCAGCCGCTGCTGGTGGAGCTGCCACTGCTCCTACCACCCACCCCCCTCCCCTGCTGCCATGGCAGCGTAACGCGAGCGCACAGGGCCCACAGTGTCTGAGGATGGACGTTGGCGCAGAAAGGCAGAGACCAGCTGACTACATAGGTGGTTTTTATAGTACGTTATTTTGGCCTCCCTCTCAGCAGGTGTGAAAAAGGCCACCATTTTTGAACGGTAGCGAGGGTCCAACAAGGTGGACAGCCAAAAGTCATCCCTCTGTCTGATGGTTATTATTCGGCTGTCGCTACGCAAGCAAGCGAGCATGCTATGGGCCATTTGTGCCAAGGAATGCGAGGGACTCCCTGCCTCCATCTCCACAGCATACTGCCACGGTGCGTCTGGGTCCTCTGTCTCCTCCTCCTCCTCCTCTACCAGATGCTCCTGCTCCTCCACTCCTGTCCGCTGAGTGGAAAAACCACCCATTTCACTCAATAATTCCTGAGCACCAATGTCCTCCTCTACCTCCTCCTCTTCTTCCTGTCCTGCCCCCACAGGGGTCATGTGGCGTTGAGATCTGTGCGCCACGTCTACCGCACCCTGACCAGCCATTGTTAACAGCATTTGTTCCAGGACGTGCAACAGAGGAATGACGTCGTTCATCCCATAGTCCTGCCGACTCACGAATAGCGTGGCCTCCTCAAAGGGCCTGAGCAAGCGCAGGTGTCACGCATGAGCTGCCAATGGCTGACATCTAAGTTACACACAGGGAGTACCTTTATCCGCTTTTAACATCAGGAAATCTGTGATGGCCTTTCGCTGTTCGTAAAGGCGGTCTAACATATGTAGGGTTGAATTCCACCTTGTTGCAACGTCACAGCATGAGGAGTCGGTACGGGGGCCCATGGCAGATTACGTGCCTGGCAGCAGCAATGGGAGGCCCGTAATCTGCCAGCACCCTATGTCAAAAAATTCAACACACCAGCAGTGTGAGGAGACCTGAAAGTGGCACATGGCAGAGTGTGGCGATGGAGACAGCAGCAATGGGAGGCCGTACAGGGACCCATGAGAGACTCTGGACCTGGCAGCAGCATGAGGAGGCGGTATATAGGGGCCTATGGCAGATTAGGGGCCTGGCAGCAGCTATGGGAGGCCCGTAATCTGCCAGCACCCTATGTCAAAAAAATTCTACACACCAGCAGTGTGAGGAGACTGAAAGTGGCACATGGCAGAGTGTGGCGATGGAGACAGCAGCAATGGGAGGCCGTACAGGGACCCATGAGAGACTCTGGACCTGGCAGCAGCATGAGGAGGCGGTATATAGGGGCCTATGGCAGATTAGGGGCCTGGCAGCAGCTATGGGAGGCCCGTAATCTGCCAGCACCCTATGTCAAAAAATTCTACACACCAGCAGTGTGAGGAGACCTGAAAGTGGCACATGGCAGAGTGTGGCGATGGAGACAGCAGCAATGGGAGGCCGTACAGGGACCCATGAGAGACTCTGGACCTGGCAGCAGCATGAGGAGGCGGTATATAGGGGCCTATGGCAGATTAGGGGCCTGGCAGCAGCTATGGGAGGCCCGTAATCTGCCAGCACCCTATGTCAAAAAATTCTACACACCAGCAGTGTGTGAGGAGACCTGAAAGTGGCACATGGCAGAGTGTGGCGATGGAGCAGCAGCAATGGGAGGCCGTACACGGGACCCATGAGAGACTCTGGACCTGGCAGCAGCATGAGGAGATGGGAGGCGGTATATAGGGGCCTATGGCAGATTAGGGGCCTGGCAGCAGCAGCTATGGGAGGCCCGTAATCTGCCAGCACCCTATGTCAAAAAATCTACACACAGCAGTGTGTGAGGAGACCTGAAAGTGGCACATGGCAGAGTGTGGCGATGGAGACAGCAGCAATGGGAGGCCGTACAGGGACCCATGAGAGACTCTGGACCTGGCAGCAGCATGAGGAGGCGGTATATAGGGGCCTATGGCAGATTAGGGGCCTGGCAGCAGCAGCTATGGGAGGCCCGTAATCTGCCAGCACCCTATGTCAAAAAATTCTACACACCAGCAGTGTGTGAGGAGACCTGAAAGTGGCACATGGCAGAGTGTGGCGATGGAGACAGCAGCAATGGGAGGCCGTACAGGGACCCATGAGAGACTCTGGACTTGGCAGCAGCATGAGGAGGCGGTATATAGGGGCCCATGGCAGATTAGGGGCCTGGCAGCAGCTATGGGAGGGCCCGTAATCTGCCAGCACCCTATGTCAAAAAATTCTACACACCAGCAGTGTGTGAGGAGACCTGAAAGTGGCACATGGCAGAGTGTGGCGATGGAGACAGCAGCAATGGGAGGCCGTACAGGGACCCATGAGAGACTCTGGACCTGGCAGCAGCATGAGGAGGCGGTATATAGGGGCCCATGGCAGATTAGGGGCCTGGCAGCAGCTATGGGAGGCCCGTAATCTGCCAGCACCCTATGTCAAAAAATTCTACACACCAGCAGTGTGTGAGGAGACCTGAAAGTGGCACATGGCAGAGTGTGGCGATGGAGACAGCAGCAATGGGAGGCCGTACAGGGACCCATGAGAGACTCTGGACTTGGCAGCAGCATGAGGAGGCGGTATATAGGGGGCCTATGGCAGATTAGGGGCCTGGCAGCAGCTATGGGAGGCCCGTATATCTGCCAGCACCCTATGTCAAAAAAAATTCTACACACCAGCAGTGTGTGGAGACCTGAAAGTGGCACATGGCAGAGTGTGGGCGATGGAGACAGCAGCAATGGGAGGCCGTACAGGGACCCATGAGAGACTCTGGACCTGGCAGCAGCATGAGGAGGCGGTATATAGGGGCCTATGGCAGATTAGGGGCCTGGCAGCAGCTATGGGAGGCCCGTAATCTGCCAGCACCCTATGTCAAAAAATTCTACACACCAGCAGCAGTGTGAGGAGACCTGAAAGTGGCACATGGCAGAGTGTGGCGATGGAGACAGCAGCAATGGGAGGCCGTACAGGGACCCAGAGACTCTGGACCTGGCAGCAGCATGAGGAGGCGGTATATAGGGGCCTATGGCAGATTAGGGGCCTGGCAGCAGCATATGGGAGGCCCGTAATCTGCCAGCACCCTATGTCAAAAAAATTCTACACACACAGCAGTGTGAGGAGACCTAAAGTGGCACATGGCAGAGTGTGGCGATGGAGACAGCAGCAATGGGAGGCCGTACAGGGACCCATGAGAGACTCTGGACCTGGCAGCAGCATGAGGAGGCGGTATATAGGGGCCTATGGCAGATTAGGGGCCTGGCAGCAGCTATAGGGAGGCCGTAATCTGCCAGCACCCTATGTCAAAAAATTCTACACACCAGCAGTGTGTGAGGAGACCTGAAAGTGGCACATGGCAGAGTGTGGCGATGGAGACAGCAGCAATGGGAGGCCGTACAGGGACCCATGAGAGACTCTGGACCTGGCAGCAGCATGAGGAGGCGGTATATAGGGGCCCATGGCAGATTAGGGGCCTGGCAGCAGCTATGGGAGGCCCGTAATCTGCCAGCACCCTATGTCAAAAAATTCTACACACCAGTGTGTGTGAGGAGACCTGAAAGTGGCACATGGCAGAGTGTGGCGATGGAGACAGCAGCAATGGGAGGCCGTACAGGGGACCCATGAGAGACTCTGGACCTGGCAGCAGCATGAGGAGGCGGTATATAGGGGCCTATGGCAGATTAGGGGCCTGGCAGCAGCTATATGGGAGGCCCGTAATCTGCCAGCACCCTATGTCAAAAAATTCTACACACCAGCAGTGTGTGAGGAGACCTGAAAGTGGCACATGGCAGAGTGTGGCGATGGAGACAGCAGCAATGGGAGGCCGTACAGGGACCCATGAGAGACTCTGGACCTGGCAGCAGCATGAGGAGAGGCGGTATATAGGGGCCTATGGCAGATTAGGGGCCTGGCAGCAGCTATGGGAGGCCCGTAATCTGCCAGCACCCTATGTCAAAAAATTCTACACACAGCAGCAGTGTGTGAGGAGACCTGAAAGTGGCACATGGCAGAGTGTGGCGATGGAGACAGCAGCAATGGGAGGCCGTACAGGGACCCATGAGAGACTCTGGACCTGGCAGCAGCATGAGGAGGCGGGTATATAGGGGCCCTGGCAGATTAGGGGCCTGGCAGCAGCTATGGGAGGCCCGTAATCTGCCAGCACCCTATGTCAAAAAATTTCTACACACCAGCAGTGTGTGAGGAGACCTGAAAGTGGCACATGGCATGGCAGAGTGTGGCGATGGAGACAGCAGCAATGGGAGGCCGTACAGGGACCCATGAGAGAGACTCTGGACCTGGCAGCAGCATGAGGAGGCGGTATATATAGGGGCCTATGGCAGATTAGGGGCCTGGCAGCAGCTATAGGAGGCCCGTAATCTGCCAGC